CCAGGCTTTTAGATTTGTGTCATCAGTCGCATGACGTAAATTCTATAGACACTTTTTGGAACGAGTTTAAACTTTAAGTTCAGAATTCCTAAATCTTGAGTGATCTTAAGATGGTTTGTCAACCAGTGTGGAACAAAATTGGTGTTAATTTCTGCAAGGAGCTTATCTCAAATTATTGCAAATGTCTGACAACCGTCATAATGAATAATGGATACGCCATTAAAGTATTGTACTCTGTTTATTGACACGAGTCCAACACTTCTGTTCATAAATTTATATGTAAAGAAATAGTTCTCGATTTCTCCCTCTACATTTATTCTTACTAAAGTTTTAGAATGCAATTGTAATTTGCTAAAGTTTGCAAATATAGCAATTATAGAAAATATTTTCTTACAAAATCCTGTGCCCAATAACCCTGTGCATCCGTACTATATAGTGATTTTCCAAGCGTAGATCAGGTGTGGCACAAGGCCGAAAGTATAGGGCACCCAGTGAGGATCGAACTCTCTACTCAGTCGTAATTGTTCTAGCGTGACAAGCTTACGAACCATTACAACACTCCGAGGTGCCCAGAGATTTTCCGAGCGTAGCTTAAATGTGGCACAAGGCCGAAAGTATGGGGCATCAAGTGAGGATCGAACTCACTTTTCAGTAGTAATTGACCTAGCAAGACAAGCTTGTTAACCATTACACCACGCATCAGTACTATATATGTCACATATTTTACTATATATATGTACCACTATTGATATATATTGATATATATATATATATATATATATATATATATATATATATATATATATATATATATATATATATATATATATATATATATATATATATATATATATATATAAAAGACAATAAAAAACAGTAATAGTTGTTGACGCGTTTCGTCCGTTAACAGTATGAAAGTAGCGGTCTCTAAATTCTTTCAGTTGCTGAGGACAATTTCTTTTGTTATTATTAGCTATTTTACAGTTTTCCTATTGTCTTTTACATTTATAAATATTGTCTTTTTACAGGTTAACTCTGAGAAATCCTCACACACACACACACACACACACACACACACACACACATATATATATATATATATATATATATATATATATATATATATATATATATATATATATATATATATATGTGATTATTTTTTGTATTTAAAAATAATTGCTAAGAACACCAGATTCTAAATCTTACTGTTCTTTCTTATTATTTAATATATATATATATATATATATATATATATATATATATATATATATAGATAGATAGATAGATAGATAGATAGATAGTGTGTGTATTGGTGTGGCCTTGTTAGGGGCCAGAAATAAAGACACAAGAGAGGAAATTGAGTTAAACAAAGATATTAACAGAAAACATTAATACAAACGTGAGTGTTACAAGAATGTTCAGTCTAGCAGTCAGCTCTGAGAGTCGGACTGAACATTCTTGTTGTAACACTTTCTCTTGTGTCTTTATTTCTGGCCCTAACAAGGCCAAAACAACACACACACACACACATATATATATATATATATATATTACTACTACTCGACCAAGTATGAGGGTCAAGCAGATCAGTTCCCAGGAAACCGACCGCCCGACAACAGGTGACGGTTTCGTGCAGGACCATCCACAATTTTTGAAGGGCCGAATACAGAGACCTGATGCACTACGTGCCACAAGGTCCCCAAACGACCCTCCGCAGGTTTTGAATTCAGAGTTGTCCTCCTCCTAGACCAGTTGCCATCCAAGAACCCATAGCTGGAGGGAGAAGAGAAGGATTCACACCTTTCCCAAGGGTATTAGCACTTAAGTGAATGTAATGGATTCGACTAGAATTCGAACTCTCCGATTCCTCAATCCAAGCCGCTATCCATTACTCCACCTATATATATATATATACAACGTATTTTTGGTATATATTCATTTTTATAACAGGCCATCTAGGTACATCCAAAACTTTGCACCGTGAAATCGATATCCTATTTTATAAATGTAATTATTTTTTTTCAAACGAAACACGTTGACATTAATTGAAACATGTTCATGGCTTCTACCCACAAATTTAGATGAGAGATTGAGAAAATAATAATAATAATTTCCGTTGCATGACTTAAACTTTGTTGAGTGTGAGAATATTTAAATTGACGCTTTTTAAGATATATATTTTCAAATTATTATAATAATTATTATGAGTAGTAGTAGTAGTAGCAACAACAGAAATTCTATTTTGGTACCTTTCGTTTCGCTTATGGTAAGACGATCAAATTTCCAATTTAAATTATTTTTTCATTTAAATACTTCATTATCAGAAAATATATTCAGTATAAATACGGGACTTCTAAAAATGATTTTAAAGGGACGCACTTTTCGGATTATACACTTTTCCACTTATCCAAGAAGTGTTGTCAGGTTAAAAGGGTAATTGATCCGTGCAAAACAAAAGTCCCTTTTAATTTCATTCAAATTGCTTAATTTTGTGTGTCCGCATGTATATTTTAATTCAATTGCAGACCTAATTTCTTTCTGAAAATTTAAAAAAACTTTTAAATTGATTTTATTTCTTACCGATTCATTTTAAAAAAAATTGAGCATTTTTTCTTGTCACTAAATTTTGAATTTTATTGCACAGCCCAAGGTAAGGCTTGTCCTGACTGAGTATGAGGGGGTGTATTATTTCAATGTCTTATTTCAAACTTATTCAAATTGGGTGTTCTGGTTTGCGTGCGTGTGCTAATCTGTACGCTAAACAGAACAAGCATAAATCGCTTACGGACACTATAGATACGTGCATATACATTATATACACGTTTACAAAGTGAAACGCAGTGTATGACGGACAGAGAATCAACGTTTTCTTTTATAATATAGATTTCTTCTTTGACTTGATATCCTCTCCAACTCTTAGATGTTTCGGCCGGATGATGCGGCTTCTATCTCAAATCCGCCTTCACAAGAAACCTCAAAATTTATGAAGATCTATTCATGGCTGCTCTTGTGCACAGATGGGATATCAGGGCGATTACTCTCCAAGCGCTTCTCAGTCAAGATGGTCGTCTCGCACATGATCTTCACTTGCTTATTCTTGGATATTGACGAGAGCGAATACTCGTAAGCACTTGAGTACATACTTCCTGTATAGTACCCAACAGTTTCTGAGGAATACTTTCTCGTGGTCTCGTCTGTACTCTTTTTTATGTCAGCCGAGTGCAGCCGCTGACAATCTGTTGCATTAGCTGTTCTTCAACTAAAGTACAAGATGGAATTTCTTCTTAAAGCTTCCAATTGAGATCCACAGACCATCACTTTGGTTGCCTTTTTCCAGAAGCCATTCCTAAGCCACTTTCCTGATTTCAGATGTGCCACCTCTTGAGTCTCTCCATTATCATCATTCGTCCTGGGTAAGATCTTAAACTACATCCGCGTCCTGGGTAAGACGATAAACTACGTCCAGCAGCAAGGCCTCTGATCAGGAGATCTTAATTGCTGGTGTTCCCAGGCACTCCCTGACTCGGGGTGGTAGAACCTGTTAGGGTCGCAGCAATGGGAAAATAGTTAACTATTACCAGCAATACTTTTTTGAAAAAAAATTATTACCAGCAATGCAATTTTGAAGGAAAAATATTATCAAAAACAGATTTTTGATAAAACAAAATATTACCAGCAATAAAAAAAATTGTCGGCATTAAATAATCCATTGAGGTTGATATGCCGTAAAACAAAATAAATCAAACCAATCTAAACCAAAGAATACATATTCTATTCATACGAATCTATCCTAAAAATGTTGTCGGCATTAAATAACTCATTGAGGTTGATATGCCGTAAAACAAAATAAACCAAACCAATCTAAACCAAAGAATGCATATTCTATTCATACGAATGTATCCTAAAAATGTTGTCGGCATTAAATAACTCATTAGGTTGATATGCCGTAAAACAAAATAAACCAAACCAATCTAAACCAAAGAATACATATTCTATTCATACGAATCTATCCTAAAAATGTTGTCGGCATTAAATAACCCATTGACGTTGATATGCCGTAAAACAAAATAAATCAAACCAATCTAAACCAAAGAATACATATTCTATTCATACGAATCTATCCTAAAAATGTTGTCGGCATTAAATAACTCATTGAGGTTGATATGCCGTAAAACAAAATAAACCAAACCAATCTAAACCAAAGAATGCATATTCTATTCATACGAATCTATCCTAAAAATGTTGTCGGCATTAAATAACTCATTAGGTTGATATGCCGTAAAACAAAATAAACCAAACCAATCTAAACCAAAGAATACATATTCTATTCATACGAATCTATCCTAAAAATGTTGTCGGCATTAAATAACTCATTGAGGTTGATATGCCGTAAAACAAAATAAACCAAACCAATCTAAACCAAAGAATGCATATTCTATTCATACGAATCTATCCTAAAAATGTTGTCGGCATTAAATAACCATGAGGTTGATATGCCGTAAAAACAAAATAAACCAAACCAATCTAAACCAAAGAATACATATTCTATTCATACAAATCTATCCTAAAAATGTTGTCGGCATTAAATAACTCATTGAGGTTGATATGCCAAAAAACAAAATAAACCAAACCAATCTAAACCAAAGAATACATATTCTATTCATACGAATCTATCCTAAAAATGTTGTCGGCATTAAATAACCCATTGAGGTTGATATGCCGTAAAACAAAATAAACCAAACCAATCTAAACCAAAGAATACATATTCTATTCATACGAATCTATCCTAAAAATGTTGTCGGCATTAAATAACCTATTGAGGTTGATATGCCGTGAAAAAAACAAAAAAAAACAAACCAAACCATTTACATCATAGATTATCTTTCCATAATCGGCCAACCTTTCCGTCTCCACAATGACCTTTTCATCCAGTGCACTTTTCAGCATTCAGTCTTGGCTATTCTTTAAATACACATGATGCAATGTCTTATATTCTGATGCTGCACACTCTTCTATTCCTATCAAACCTCCTCCATCCTCTTTTCGAGGTAGAAAGGTATGTTAAAAATTATCCGCACTTTCAACATATCTCTAGGATTGTCAAACTTCTTCCTGTTCATATGTGCTTATATTGTGGTCACGTGATCGAAGTTTGAGATTTATCGCGACCGTTTCATTGCTGCGGTTATATCGTAAACATGGCCGCTCCGCTAAATTTAATATTGTTAATTATTTTTGTCAATTCTCAAGATCAAAGAAAATGTATAAATTCACTTTCATATATGTAGGCTTTGTTACAATTCTAATAAGCATTTCTTAAAACGATAAACATTGCCGAAGAGTCAAGGTAGTTTAAAAAAAAAGCGGTGTCATGGGAAAACAAAAACGTTTATTTGACATTTTGCGGACAAATTTATCCATGCTTAGCAAACATTTAATCACACACAAATCTACACATACTTCACATTGACCCTCGTTTTAGCAGCAAGCAACGTTAAGATGTTAATCTGTAAATTCTGAGATCAAAACTGGCAAGTTGTTGATTTTGACTGTACCTTCATTTTGAAGTTTAGGTATCAATGACTTGTTGATAAATCTGGGACTGTTGTTTTAGTGTTAAAATTACTTTTTTTCTTGTTCCTGTTATTGAAAACTGTTTTCATTCGACCCTTTTGTCTTTTCCAGGGAAAGAAAGATTCAAATAAAATATTTCCATACCTAAATCACCCTTTATACAAAATAAAACAGATATTTAGCTTTCTATAATCAGAGTCATGGAGAAAAGACGCAGTTTCTGTCCACTATAAGAGGAAGGTTTAGTCTTTGAGATTGGTGTTTCGGGAGTATACTTTTTTTATGTGCCGTGTCCCCTCAGGACGTATGTGATTATGACTCTCCACAACTTCCTATCCCTTGTAGCTCCTCATATATTTTCTTTTTCTGTTATTTCCCATTAGCCCTGTTCCGCAATCTATTTAGTCAAGTTCACTAAGTAGGATTTGTTGTGTTTTTTTTTTCCTGTTCCTCTTACCCTCTATATGTCACGTGAGTATCAGATTTTCCAAGCCTTCCTTTCTCATTATGCGTCCCAGAAACCTCAACTGTTTTTTCTTGATGTTAAGTATTAGTTTCCTTTTTGTTTCCATTTTCTCCAAAACTTGGTCATTACTCACGTGTTCGGTCCACGGAATCCTCAACATCCTTCTGTAGAACCACATTTCTGTTGCTTCAAGTCTTCTCGTCATCTTTCAGATCACTGCTATATTGGAGGGCACATATCATGGACCAGTTTAGCGGTCTTTTCCTTGTTTCTAGCGAAATGTTTTTAATGGCTCTAACTAGAATAGCCAGTAGAACGTCGTAAATAAGAAAATGCCCATTCATATCCTGAGGAAGGACCTGCTATAACGAAAAAAACTGAATTCAATTCCTGGGGAAGTATCCGGACATGGGGGGAGAATTTGATGAGATCAACATATCCCACTGAATAAACTTATCGCGTGCAATGAGAATTCCCAGAAAATTGCCGAATGAGACACGTCTTTAAAATGCCGAACAAATCTGTCTGTCTGTCTGTCTCTCTCTCTCTCTCTCTCTCTCTCTCTCTCTCTCTCTCTCTCTATATATATATATATATATATATATATATATGTGTGTGTGTGTGTGTGTACGTGTGTGTATGTATATATAAAATGTGGATACTAGTTCCTAACAATTATTGATTAGTAAAACTAAATAAATAAACAAATCTGTCTGTCTGTCTCTTTTCTCTCCTCTCTCTCTCTCTGTCTCTCTGTACATATATATATATATATATATATATATATATATATATATATATATATATATATAATTTGGATACTAGTTCCTAACGATTATTGATTAGTAAAACTAAATAAAGAAACAAATCTGTCTGTCTTCCTGTCTCCCTGTCTTTCTCTCTATTTTATATATATATATATATATATATATAATGTGTATACTAGTTCCTAAGAATCATTGATTAATAAAACTAAATAAATAAACAATTTTTCTGTTTCTCTTTTCTCTCTCTCTCTCTCTCCCTATACATACATATATATATATATATATATATATATATATATATATATATATATATATAATGTGGATACTAGTTCCTAATAATTATTGATTAGTAAAACTAAATAAATAAAAAAAAGGAAAGGTAATTTGATTTTAAAGGCTTTTTTATTGGAGTTTTGTCTACACGACATTGTTATGGGTACTGAATTTGCCCCCATATCAGTGAAATTCAGTTTTGAGAATATGTTGTATAGACAAATAAATGGAATAGTTATGGGTAGTCCTTTGGGCCCTGCAATGGCCCACAATTCTTTTGCATTTTTACGAGCAAGATTTACTTGCTAGTATTGAAAATCCTCATTTTTATTATTGATATGTGGATGGCTCTTTTTCTGTTTTTGACAATGAGGAACAGACATTTCGTGGATTATTGAATGAATTGCATTCAGCGTTAATGTTTGATCAAGTCTTTGGTATATCGTTCCCTAATTATCCATTTTAAAAGCAAATTAAATCCTGAAATTGAGTTTATTACGAAGGTTTTAATTGAAAATGAATACCCTCAGGATATTGTTTAATCTAGTATTCGTGCTAAATTTGTACAATTTAATGAACCCCAAATTGTATGGGACGGAAAAGCGTTCCTTCTATTTGCGATTACCGTAGATTGGCCAAGTTAACATTTGATTTATTCGTCAGATCTCTCAAAGTCTGCAGTGCTTTTTTTCTGCCAATCCAAGGCTTGTTTTCACTTCACAAGCTATGGTGAAATCCATTCGTAAAGATATTCAAACCACCACCTACCAACCACCACCACCACCACAGCATGTTAGTTCAGTGATTTATGATTTCAAATTTTAGTGCGATACTAAATATATTGCCAGAACTTATCAGAAGTTGGAGGCGAAGATTGGTCGGCACGTACTAGGTAAGATCGGTCGAGGGCAGTACGAAAATTTGTATGCCTTCGTTAATACATCCGGTTCTGAGATTGCAGAACGTTTAATAAATAATCTGACTTATGCTACATATTTATACTAGAAATTTTTCGCTGTAGTCAGCAGAACACATTCGGATTACCATTTGAGATTGCTGAAGATCCTATATATATTAAGTTTAAGCAACCTTCCTTTTGAAATCAGAACGAACGTCTGCTAGATCAAATGTAATCTATTTGTGATTTATACTGCTCATTTTCTGGTAGTATTTTTCTTACACATTTTTTAGCCGCCGTACACATATGTGCCTTGTCCTCAATTGAGCTGTCTAGAGCGAGAAGCGATTTATCTCATATTTTCCGACACACCACTTTACGATGGGTTATTTTTTTTATTTATCTTTGTTCTTTCTTTCCCTTTGTTTTCATATATTTATATATACTTTTAAAATGTCCGTTTTCAAAGACTGACTGACTTATGCTTCGTCTTTATACCAGAATTTTTTCGCTGTAGGCAGCAGACCACATCCGGATTACCATTTGAGATTGCTCAAGACCCTATATATATTGAGTCTAAATAACCTTCCCTTTCAAAGCAGAACGAATGTTTATCTTTGTTCTTTCTTTGTTTCTGTTTTAATATATTTATATATACTTTTAAAATGTCCGTTTTCAAAGGCCAAATAATTTCGTTTTTGCTTCCAGTCAGGATATTTCCAAATATTATCCATTTATTTACTTTAATTTTGATGGAGGGTATTTTATTTAATCAATTCATACCAAACAAGGCGATAACGCCACTAAGACGCAAGTGGAAACGAAGGAAAGAACATTAAAAGGAACCGGAAACCAAATACTTAACAGGAAACAAGAGATAACCCTCTACTTCCTTTCAAAAGACCGGGGATTGCGTGAACCGGACGATAGACGAATCTATCTACTCCTTAAAAGCTAAAATTCTATAAGACTCTCACTCAAACGAAAATAAATTTTAGAATTAATTATTGGTTTCTTGGTCTCGTGATCTCACAGTCCATTAGGGTATCATTTGTGTTTCTTTGGAAAAGAAGAGTTACTTGGCGGCGTCCATTTCCTCTCAACACTAATATAAGAAATAGGATTTGATTGATTGAATTGATTTTGAGGCTTATTGATCTTTTACAGGTTATTTAAATATAGAGAATAGTTTAGATTTTTAGAATTTTATGGGGATAATAAGGATTTATCTCGTACAAGTACCACTTATTAACCCATAGGTGGGGAGAGAAAAGGGTAGATATCCTATCTTCCCAGGGGTATTTGTGTGTTATTGAATATACTGATACCGACAGAAATTGGAACCTGGCTTTCTGATTTTCAATTCTGAGCTGTTATCCATTACACCACCCGCACATCCAAGCTTAAAGTACCTGTTTTTCCCTAGCGGTCACCCTTCTAGGTATCGACCAGACTCAACGTCGCTTAACTTCGGTGATCGTATGAGGATCAGTGTTTTAAAGGGATATGGTCGTAAGATATGATCACTGGTATATGATACTAGTTGTTGGTTGGTTCTGTAACACCATTCTCTCATGTAAGTGTTCGCCATGATGCTGTCATGAATCCTTCAGGGCATCTCTAGAACAAGTGACCACGCCCATCTTCTCCCCATGGTCATAATGTCTTATATAGAACAGAAATGATTCTCCGAATTAACTGAATAAAGATTGATAAATTAATCTTCATTTCCGATTAACGATCGTAGAATGACGATCTACAGATCGTAGAATGACGGTCTGGGATCGTAGAATGACGATCTACAGATCGTAGAATGAGAATCTACAGATCGTAGAATGACGATCTGGGATCGTAGAATGACGATCTGGGATCGTAGAATGACGATCTGGGATCGTAGAATGACGATCTACAGATCGTAGAATGACGATCTGGGATTGTAGAATGAGGATCTACAGATCGTAGAATGACGATCTGGGTTCGTAGAATGACGATCTGGGATCGTAGAATGAAGATCTGGGATCGTAGAATGAGGATCTACAGATCGTAGAATGAGGATCTACAGATCGTAGAATGAGGATCTGGGATCGTAGAATGAGGATCTGGGATCGTACAATGAGGATCTACAGATCGTAGAATGACGATCTGGGATCGTAGAATGACGATCTGGGATTGTAGAATGACGATCTACAGATCGTAGAATGACGGTCTGGGATCGTAGAATGAGGATCTACAGATCGTAGAATGACGATCTGGGTTCGTAGAATGACGATCTGGGATCGTAGAATGAAGATCTGGGATCGTAGAATGAAGATCTGGGATCGAAGAATGAAGATCTACAGATCGTAGAATGAGGATCTACAGATCGTAGAATGAGGATCTGGGATCGTAGAATGAGGATCTGGGATCGTAGAATGAGGATCTACAGATCGTAGAATGAGGATCTACAGATCATAGAATGATGATCTGGGATCGTAGAATGACGATCACTGAAATTCAAATGGAATAAATACTTCGGAATAATACAAAGTCACTCCGCGCGTGCCGACCAGGTTTCGTTGCAATTAGCGTCTTCGTACCACACCTACTGTTTACTTTTTTATATTTTTTCATATTGTATGAGATTTTATTTTTGGTCGTAAGTCTGGTGTTGTTAAACTAGTAGGTGGTTATGTGAGGCATTGTTGCACAATGCGTCATTGGATAAATTTGAATAGTATCGATTATAAAACTTGATTAATCGAACCTGAATACAAATGTTTTTAATTGCATTAGGTGCTTGTTAAAAGTGTTTCATCTTAAACATGTTTTTTGCCGACTCAGCAGTCGGAAAATTATTTTTTTCAAATACAACATAGCCCATTATATGCTTGTCATTTTGCCGGCAAGGGGTTTTAAATCAACAGTAAATAAATAAATAAAAATGAAGGAATTAAAATAAGTTGAATTTATCGGAGCTGTTTAATATTTACAGCTCCGACGTTTCCTTATCATTGTTCTCCAGGATCTGCCCAGTCCTCACTTTCCAGTCTTGACTGACTTCAGAAGCGTCCCCAAATCCTTGTGGGTGACGAATTATTTCCACCCTCTAACCTCTCTCTCTCTCTCGCAGGCGGGATGAGGCGAGCTCCATAGCTACTTTCATGGAAAGTGCTCGGACGAACTACATTCCTTGTATCCGCCAGTTCTCTTCTATCTATCTATCTATCTATCTATCTATCTATCTATCTATCTATCTATCTTTGTTCATATCTATCTATCTATCTATCTATCTATCTATCTATCTATCTTGTACATATCTATGTTCATATCTATGTATCTATTTATCTATCTTTGTTCATATCTATCTATCTATCTATCTATCTATCTATCTATCTATCTATCTATCTATCTTTGTTCATATCTATCTATCTATCTATCTTTGTTCATATCTATCTATCTATCTATCTATCTATCTATCTATCTATCTATCTATGTTCATATCTATCTATCTATCTATCTATCTATCTTTGTTCATATCTATCTATCTATCTATCTATCTTTGTTCATATCTATCTATCTTTGTTCATATCTATGTTCATATCTATCTATTTATTTTGTTCATATCTATGTTCATATCTATCTATCTATCTATCTATCTATCTATCTATCTATCTATCTATCTATTTTTGTTCATATCTATCTATCTATCTATCTATCTATCTATCTATCTATCTATCTAGTTCTAACCTTCACAGCTAGGACCTGCCAAGCCATTTACATATTAGCAAACCACCCACATTTCCTCTGTATTTCACTGGTGGGAATTAAGTTCCACTTAAACAGCTTCTTCCTGCGAACCACTGCTGTTTGGAACTGACTCCCAAGAGCATGCTTCCCCCAATCACTATAATTTTTACCTGTTCAAGTCTAGGATTAACCATTATCTTCCCCTCCTATCCATATAAACTGCCCATTTTAACGTAACCCTCTACTGTAAGTGGACCCCGGGATTTGTACACATACTGTAAAAAAAAAATATAATAATAATAAAAAATAACAAAATAAATAAAATAAAATAAGTCTGAAGGTTAATAGTTCGCTAAAATTTTTAGCTCGATAACATCATTAACATTTTATTTTAGTCGTCTTAACACACACATACACATTTACACCTGCAAAGACACACGCACACACGCGCGTGCAGTCGGATATACACCCACACATACTAAAAAACAAAACAAAAAAAAACAGAGAGTGAGACGGACTTATTAATGCAGCAAAAATGTGAATTGAACTTTGAAATATTAGCTGGTTAATAATAGCGCTACAAGAGGCGCTTATTTTTTTCGCAACCCATAACATTTCTAAAATTTAAGGAAATTACCATGTGACAAAATTTAGGGCGAGGCAGGGCTTCTTAGTCGGGTCGAAAACTTGAAGCACCGCTTGTGCATATATATATATATATATATATATATATATATATATATATATATATATATATATATATATATGAAGGAATAGACAACTTTAAGTGTTCATGGGATTATAATTTATTTCCTTAGGACCGGATTTTTGGTTCTAATTCTTTAAATGTCCATTTTCAAACATAAACATTGGTGACCCAATATTTTTGTATGAAAATGGAGATCTGATGAATTAGGAGCAAAATCCCAGTCCTAATAAATTATAATCACATGATCCCTTAAAGTTTTCTGTTTCTTAGTTTAATTAAAATTTGCTTTGTTTTCACATTGAGTTCTCTGGATTATATCCTCCTGGGATTATCCATACGGATTACCAAATAACTTTATTAACACTATATATATATATATATATATATATATATATATATATATATATATATATATATATATGACAGATTTTTATCACATTTTAAATGTTGCTTTTCGTGGTTAGTAGACACTATGTTGATTTATTAAACAGTATAATTATTAATTTTGTTTATCGGCCTGAATGTTCGAAACATCTTACTAAAGAAAAATTTGGGCTCTCTATATCTAAATTTATATATATATATATATATATATATATATCTGTGTGTGCGCGCGCGTGGATCTTATTTCTTGAGCAACGTCATTTTAATCACCAGTTTGGCTTCATATAAAGAAAGTAAATTTCAACATCTCTTTCAACATCTCTCTCAATCTTTTTATTTATTTTTTCTTTCTTTCTTTCTTTCTTTCTTTCTTTCTTTCTTTCTTTCTTTCTTAATCTATTCATATCTATCTATTTCTTTATCTATCTATCTATCTATCTATCTATCTATCTATCTATCTATTTTTGTTCATAGATATCTATGTATCTATCAATCTTTGTCCATATCTATCTATCTATCTATCTATCTATCTATCTATCTATCTATCTATCTATCTATCTATCTACTTTTGTTCATATATATCTATGTATCTATCAATCTTTGTCCATATCTATCTATCTATCTATCTATCTATCTATCTATCTATCTATTTATCTATCTATCTATCTATCTATGTTTTCCTATCTATCTATCTATCTATCTATCTATCTATCTATCTATCTATCTATCTACTTTTTGTTCTTATATATCTATGTATCTATCAATCTTTGTCCATATCTATCTATCTATTCATCTATCTATCTATCTATCTATCTATCTATCTATCTATCAATGTTTTCCTATCTATCTATCTATCTATCTATCTATCTATCTATCTTTATATATATATATATATATATATATATATCAGTCTATTCATATCTATCTATCTACATATTTTCCTATATATCATTGATACCTATCCAATTACGTGTATTTTTCTGAATTTCATTTATATTTGCGTGAATATATTTGAACTTGACTCTGCGCGTTTATCGCTGCATTTTTGCTTCTAAATAAATACATTTGTTTTTTTTTGTTTTTGTTTTTTTCGTTTATTTGCACGCAGAATCACTTCAGAAAGCTGAAGAATTTCAATTATTTTATACAAATTCTCCTTTACCATTCTCTCTATTTTTACCTGTACTTTTTCGTGTTTATTTTTTATCTGAAGATGATGTCAATAATACACCGACACATTTATAATCAATCATCTGCCTACCTTATTAAAATTCCGATCACCTACCCTAATAAATAATATTTCTCAAAATATCTTTTATGTTTTTGAATCTTTCTTTTTGTCTGTCCTTAGACACGCGCCTATTTCTAAACATACACCCACCGACATTAATATCTTAATTTATGCTTATTATATTATTATTATTATTATTATCATTATTTTATTTCCTATGGTTTCTGGTGTGTACTTATTACTTTCCGGGTCCCAACCAGAGACCTAAGGTCAGAAATGGCAGCATGACATTTCCACTGAGCAATTAAAAAAAAAGAAAAGAAAAAAAACATATTTGACATAGGTAAAACCCTTTGTAAGCTCTTGAGAACATTTTTTTTTGTATTTCTTTAAGGCATGGCTACCAGGAATCCCTTCAATGAGTCTATTGGAATTTTTTCCAATCAATCCGAGGGCTCCAACTATAACAGGAATTGTTGATGTTCACATGTGCCACATTTTTGAGATTTCTATTTCAAGGTCCTTGTATTTTGACAGCTTTTTGAATATCTTCAAAGATACATTGCAGTCTGCAGGGACTGCCATATCAATAAGGAGGCACTTTTTTTGTTTGTGGACTTTAATAACAATATCTGGGTGGTTGGCTTTGATTGTTCTGTCAGTGTGTATTGTGTAGTCCCATAAAATTGTTACAGGTCCTATCTCCGTAACCGGGTCTGGGTGGTGTTCATATTATTATTATTATTATTATTATTATTATTATTATTATTATTATTATTTCCTTTGATTTCTGGCGTTCACATTTCTTTCCGGGTCCCGCTCAGGGACCTAAGGTTAGAAATGGCATCATGACATTTTCCACTAAAAAAAAAAAAAAAAAAAATACATAGATAGTGATTTTCCAAGCGTAGGCTGGATGTGGCACAAGGCCGAAAGTAAGGGGCACCCAGTGAGGATTGAACTTACTAC